TGGTTGTCCTGTTATAGGAAAGATCTTATAAAATTGGAGAGGTTTCAGAAAAGATTTACTAGGATATTGCCGGGAATGGAAAGTTTGAGCCTTAAAAACAGGCTGGAAATAGGCTGGGACCTTTTTCACTGGAGCGTAGGAGGTTGAGGGATGACATTAAGAGGTTTATAAAGTCATGAGGGTATAGGTAAGTTGAATAGCAAGGGTCTTTTCCCTATGGTGGGGGAGTTCAAAATTAGGGGGGCACTTTTTTAAGCTGAGAGGAGAAAGATTTGAAAAGGATGTGAGGGGCAATTTTTCTATACTGATTGTGGAATGATCTGCCGGAGAAAGTGGTGGATGCAGGTACGTTACAATGTTTAAAAGACATTTGGATAAGTTCATGAATAAGAAAGGTTTGGAGGGATATGGGCCAAGCACAGCCAGGTGGGGGCAGACAAGTTGGCTCAAAGGGTTTGTTCCCATGCTGTATGACTCTTGTTAGAGATGGTCTTTACCTGGTATTTGTGTTGTACAAATGTTACTTACCACATGTCAGCCAAAGTCTGGATATTGTTCAGGTCTTGCTGGATTTGAACATGGACTGCTTTAGTATCTGAGGAGTTGCAAAAGGTGCTGAACATTGTGCAATCATCGGTGAACATCCCCACTTCTGATCTTATGGTGGAGGGAAGGTCAGTGATGAAGCAGCTGAAGATGGTTGGGCCTACGACATTACCCTGAGGAACTCCTGCAGAGATAACCTAGAGCTGAATCACTGACCTTCAACAACCACAACCATCTTCCAAGATAGTAGCAACTGCTGATGCTGGAGTCTGAGATAACAAGGTGTGGAGCTGGAGGAACACGACAGGCCAGGCAACATCAGAGGTTCAGGAAAGCTGATGTTTCAGGTCTGGATCCTTCTTCAGAAAAAAGGGTCCAGACCCGAAATGTCAGCTTTCCTGCTCCTCATCCAGCTCCACACCTTGTTATCACAACCATCTTCTGATATGTCAGGTATGAATTCAACCAGTTTGTCCCTTGATACCCATTGATTCCGGTTTAGCTAGGGCTCCTGGATGCCACACTCAGTCAAATACAGCCTTGATATCAAGGGCTGTCGCTCTCACCTCACCTCTGGAATTCAGCTCTTTTATCCATGTTTGAACCAAGGCTGTAATGAGGTCAGGAGCTGAGTGGTCCTGGCGGAACCCAAACTGGGCGTCACTGAGCAGGTGATGCTTGATAGCGCTGTTGATGACATTTGCTGGATAATCAAAAGGAGACTGATGAGGTGGTATTGGCCGGGTTGAATTTGTCCTACTTTTTGAATATAAGATGTACCTGGGCCTGAAGTATGTAAAACTCTGCGTGGTATAGATAGGGTACACAAGAAGGAACTTTTCTCTTTGGTGGAAGGATCAATGCCCAGCAGCATGCAATGTAAGGGCCAGGAGGTTTTGAGGGATGATAGGAAATTGTTTTTCACCTAGAAGGTGCTGGGAAACTGGAACTCTTGGAACCTACGATCGAGACAGAAACCCTCATAATAGTAATAGAGTATTTAGATGTGCACTTGCGATGCTAAAGCATACAAGGTTATTGGCCAAATGCTGGAAAATGGGATTAGAATACTTAGATGATTGTTTTTGTCTCATGTAGACTCAAAGGGTCAAAGGTCTCTTTCTGTGCTGTAGATCTCCCCTGATACCCAATGATCCAGTTTTGCGAGGGCGCCTTGATGCCACACTCGGTCGAATGCAGCTTTGATATCAAGGCCTGTCACTCTCACCTCACCTCTGGAATTCAGCTCTTTTGTCCATGTTTGAACCAAGGCTGTAATGAGGTCAGGAGCTGAGTGACCCTGGCGGAACCCAAACTGGGCGTCGCTGAGAAGGTTATTGCTGAGCAGGTGCTGCTTGATGGCACCATTGATGACAACTTCCATCACTTTATGATGATTGAGAGTAGACTGGTGGGGCAGTAATTGGCCGGGTTGGATTTGGCTAGCTTTTTGTCTACACGACATACCTGATCAATTTCCACATTGTCAGGTAGATGCCAGTGTTGGAACTGTACTGGAACAGCTTGGCTAGGGGAGCGGCAAGTTCTGGAGCACAAGTCAATAAGGTTCAGAGACATGACGAGCCAGGCCATGGCAGTGAATAAAGAAGAAGGCCTCCTGGGTACCTGTGCCAACAGGAGGCCTGGGGACAGCAGCTACACAGAAACACTGAGACTCTCTGCCCAAGGTCACCTTGAGGAGGGAAGGTCTCCCACGATGATTGTCTGTCCGCCCATGATATATGGTTGGAGAGTGGCCATTCTCTCTGCCAGGACATGAGCTGCCCAGTCAACTGGGCCCGATAGAGGTGTCTTCAATAACTGGCATCCATTGAGGTGCTTCATCCTCTTCCTCCACTGAGGATGCTGCTTACCCAGTGGCTTCCTCTGGATCCAGTGTTGTGCCCCTCTGGAGTGATAGCAGGGCCCCCTCAAGAATGAGTGTTACAGCTGTCATGCCAGATTTCTCAAAGCATCAAAACCTTGTCCTCAAAAGTTTAATCCTGGGGAGTAAGGGGCTGGGGAGTGATGGGCTAAGGAGTGACGGGCTAGGGTGTGAGGGGCTAGGGAGTGAGGGACTGGGAATGAGGGGCTGGGGAGTGAGGGACTGGGGAGTGAGGGACTGGGGAGTAGGGGACTGGGGAGTGAAGGACTGGGGAGTAGGGGACTGGGGAGTGAGGGTCTGGGTAATGATGGGCTAAGGAGTGAGGGACTGGGGTGTGAGGGGCTAGGGAGTGAGGGGCTGGGGAGTGAGGGGTTGGGTAGTAAGGGACTGGGAATAACGGACAGGGAGTGAGGGGCTGGGTAGTGAGGGACTGGGGAGTGAAGGGCTAGGGAGTGAGGGGCTGGGGAGAGAACTTGTCTCCCCAAAATTCTATCTGATGGTTCTGAAAGATGTGATCAGTGGCGTCTCCAGCCCTCAATGCAAATGGTTATCGAGGAGGCAGTCGGTGCTCTATAACTCTGAGCTGTCAGCAGTGGGTAGATTACTGACAACTAGGGCAGTTTGAAGACAGGAATGGTACGTTCTGTATTTAAACCTGAAGACAGTTTCAGTCAATGACTCACCAGGGCCATCAGCAATCACTAATATTCCTTCAATAAATGAGACTGTTGTGTCATCACCAATTCTCTCTATCCAGAAACAGTTTTCCAGATTGTTCCAATCTAATAACCAGCTGTTCCCAACGTTTGCTGTCTCACCAGAGTTGCTGTGAATGATGTTGCTTTGGATTAGGGAGGAATAACTTGAGAGGCTCACTCTTTATTCTTCAGAATAAGAAATGATATCTTTGAAATTTCGACAATTCTTAAAGGAGTAACAGGCAGGCTGTTTAGAATTGGGTTGAGTAGGAACACAAACACAAACACACATGCAAACACAAACATACACACACACACTCAGACACACACATAAGCACAAACACATACACACACATAGAAACACAGATACACCTACACACACACAAACACATACATACGCACACACAAATGTAAACACATATACACACACTCACTAACGCACACAATCCCTCACACACAAAAACAGCCAAATTTCTCACAGACATATGCAAACATACACACACCCTCACACAAAACAAACACAAACTCACACATTTACACAAACGTAGATACTCACACAAATGAATGAAACACGCTCAAAAACACACACATAAACACATGCATACAAACAAACGCACACTCACGCAAAGAAATGCAAACACACATATAAACATACATGTATACAAACACGAACACACACATACACACACAATGCAAATATAAACACATGCACACGCACACACACAAATGCAATCACATAAATACATACCCACACAAGCACAAATGCACAAATAAGCACAAACACGCCCTCATAAACAAACATACACACACCCACACAAACATACACACTCATACAAACAATTGCAAACACACTCACAAGCACACACATAAACACACAGACACACACATATACACACAAATGCAAATACAAACATGTGCACACACAATTACAAACACACATAAACACACACAAACATACACACACAAGCATACATACACAAATCAAGCACACTAACATAAAAAACATACACACACCCACACAAATGTGCGCATTCATACAAACAAATGCAGACACACTCACATACGGACAGACACACACGCATGCAAACAGAAACATGCATACACAAAACACACATACACACAAATGCAAATCAACCACATGTGCACACACAACTACAAACACACACTTAAACACACAAAACAAACACACAAACACATGCACACAAACATAAACACACAAACACACAAAACACACATAAATACACAAACGCAAATATATAAACGCAACCACATAAACACATACACATGCACAAACACACATACATATGCACATAAACACAAACACACACACAAACATGCACATACATGCTCAAAGACAAGCAAACACACACACTCACACATATGCACTCACACACACAAACATAGATACACTCACACAAGCACAAACACATACAGACACAAACATACTCACACACACACATACAAACACTAACACATACGTAAGCAAATGCTAACAGACACACACACACACCCCCATACACATACAGCACAATCAAACACAACACAATCAAACACACACACACAACTCAGACACACATATATGCACACACTCACAGACACAAACATACACATCACATACACACACACACACACACA